GTCCCACTATCCCCCCGAGAGCTGCGAGACCCCACGGCAGTGCCTGTGTCCCCACTCCTGGTGTAGCTGGGCAGAGATACCGGGGTGATGCTGGTTTTGTCATTTTTTGCTTGCCTTTGAGGGGAGCATAGTGTTTGGTCCCATAATTAAAGCCAGCATCTTGGTGCCTACACCCCAGGGGCCAGGGTGAGGTTATGCGAGGTACCCCGACTCTGGGATTTCCTATTTCTCGAGTTCTGGCTTTGTGATCTTAATGTTATTTCAACATAGTCCTTTTTGTGTGGTTTCTTATTTAAGTGTTTTTAATTTGAACAAATTCCCTCCAGCTAATTTTTGTTACTTGTGCGTGGCTCTGGAGAAGACCTTTTCCTTTTATTAAGGAGGAATGTTTTTAATCACATGCATTCTTCAACCCGGCTGAACTCTGAACCTTTCACAGCTAATCAACATAAGATGGGAAACGGTTTTAAAAAAAACCTGCCTTTAACTGCTGCTCAGCCTCAGACAAAGCTCTTCGCTGTGTGCGATCGCCTTGCGGGCAGCGCTGGCACATGGCACGGCGGCACCGCGCCGCAAAACCCGGCAGCCTGGCTTCATGGCAGGCAGGGCTGAAGGCAGGGATGCACGGAAAGGCGTAGCTCAGATGCGACTGGTTTGCTCCTTAATAATCTGCCTGCCCTTCTTTGTTTGCTTCTTGCTTTATTTCCCTCTTATATAAGTGCAGCTCTTTGCTGATGGCTGACCTTGCCTCTTTAAAAAAATCAGGAAATGCCAAAGCAAAGATTTCTGCTGCTTTTTGGGGGGGAGATGGCTGTCTGTCTGAGAGCAGCAGCGTGACCAGTGATTTCCCCTTTGGGGAGCGAGCGACACAAGCACCGGATTACCACCCCCAGCCTGGGAAACTCGCTGCCACCAGATTTCACCCTGGCCAAAAGCTTAGCAGGAGCCCGAGAGGCACTTGACTGTTTGCAGAGTGGGGAGCCCGTTGCCGTCTGCACGCTTGCTCCGTGTCTCTCCGCACCTTGCCGGCCAGCACACGGGCCCTTGGAGCGCTTCGGCTGTTTTCCCTGCGCTGTGCCGTGCCGGCAGCCTGGAAAATGCTGGTAACCCGTGCCGGGTTGTTGAGCACAGAGCTTGCATTCATGCTTGTACTGCCAAAGGCTTTCCCAAGGCACGCCAGGGAGAGACTCTGCGCCGAAGCTCCTCTCCTTGTGTTGCAATCTCCCCTTCCCGTGGAGGAAGGGTGGAGCTGCAGCGGCTGCGGACCCCGCGAGGGCGG